AAAAAAAAAAAAAAAAAAAAAAAAAAAAAAAAAAAAAAAAAAAAAAAAAAAGACGAAGAATAAGAAGAAGAAAATGCACTTCCACCCTTTCCTTACAAGAATTTCTTCCCCTTAACCAACTTAGGAAAGACTTTTTCCAAAACCCAACTGCATGGACAAGCTTTCGCCTGAGAAGCATAGACGTGACATGACATTACGACACACCAATTTTCTAAAACATAGGATATGGACACGTTGGGGACAAGTTCATAAATATATTAAAAGATCAAACCCAAAATACTTCAGTTTTTTACTAAATATTAAAAATAATTAATTTTTTTTAAAAAAATGTGAATGAAGATTTAATTGGTCCTTGAATTTAGCTTAAAATTTACAAAAACATAAAACCCAATAAGCTATATGAGCCCATTTAAACCCAGTAAAGAAACATGCCACAAAGTGTCCATTAAAAGCCCACAAATTAAAATTTATAAAAAAGTTTGTAATGAAAAAAAAAAACACTAACTCTAGAAAACTCCTTCCCCTCCCCCAATTCTCACTCCCCACCTTCGTTCAATCTCTATCTCCACCTCTGGGAGACTTCTCTGCCAACCACTTCTGCTAATGTCTGATGTTCTGTAATTATGTAATGAGACTCTTTTGGCAAAACTGTTGTAGCGTTTCCACAAGGAGCCTGATACTCTCTGGTGGAGGATTTTTGAGTGGGGAAAAACCTCATGCGCCTTGTTTCCTCATCTGTATCATTTTTTAGATAAGAGGATATCAGTAGCTTTTTCTTGCCATCTTCTGATAATTCTTCCTTTCTTAGATCTCCTCAACCCCTTACTGAACGAGAGGCTTATGGGGTTGGCAGTCTTCTTTCTACTATTTTCCAACTAATATCCAATAATAGTTAAACCTCACATTACTGGCAACTAGCAAGAGCCAAGAGGCTGGACACAGCGGCACCAGGAAGCAGAAATAAACAAGGTCACAATAATCAAGAATCAGGCTTTAAGTATCAAGTTATGCAGACCGATATATAAATACCAACATCAAAAATAATATCCATAGCAATGAAAAGTATACCTACGAAACCAGGTTAGCACCATCTTCACATAAGGAAGAATGTGGTAGTACTCAACTTTTGAAGTAACGCTCCATCTCCTACCATTTTTTTTAAACAACGAATCCTGCAAACTAATACCATGGAAAAGAGAAAAATCAAGAGCAAAAAAGGGTATCTATGCATTTGAGGACTGACCTTCATCCATGCTCATTTCACATGAGCTCCTGGAACATGCATTCAAACCAAGACACAGAATTGAAGGGGGCAGGCGTGAAAGGAAAACAATGAAACCTGTCGAAGGCATCTTTTATTGGAACTTGAATTACATCTTCAGTTGCTGATCGAGTGCACTGCATCATGTAGAAGTAGACTGCTGATTTTTCTTTACTTAGAGAGTAGGCAACGTGACTTTCTAAAATTTTGAGATCGTGTTGATTAATGCCTGTTTTGCATGAAATAAACAGGATTAGCAACTCTCTGTAAGTACCAAGATAAGAGACATATCCATAATGTAGGACCCCAAGGGTGATAATAGCAACAAAAAGGAGACTCCATGAATTTTGCTTCCATTGCTGCATCAGGCTACACCAAGTCCAATAATATGTTCAATGGGGACTTTAGATTAATTGAATTTTATTTTTAAAAAATAAGGATATATTGGTACTGAATGAACAACTTTATTGAACTAGCATCTGCGTTTAAGAACTAAGTTTAAACATTTCTTTAATAAGAAACAAATTTCATTGATGCATGAAATTTACAAAAGAAAATTAACCTTCAGAGGTGAAAGATTTAAAGTTCATTCAAGGTAATTGAAATTTTTAAAAGAGCTTCTTCAAGGAAAAAAACGATTTCTTCTCTGAAGGGGAAGACTACCCTGAAATCCCGTGCATTTTCTTTCTTTTCAACATACAAGGATCTATCAAGGAAAAGTCACATGGGAATTTCTGCAGGGAGGGGTTGAGGAGGGAGGTGGGTCACATTTAGTGAATTGCAGTATGTTGTGGCAACCTAACAAGGGAGTGGTTTGAGGATAGGAAATCATTCAGTGAATTGGAGTGTGGTGTTGAAACCTAATAAGGAGGTAGTTTGGGGATAGGAAAGTAGGGCAACAAAAGCATTTGCCTCATAATGGACATGACAGGTCCCTTCAAAACCTTAAACTTTATGCCATTCGGAAATTGTGAGCAAATACAGGTGTCATCTCAACAGCTAGGTTTCCAATTTAGCTTCTATAGGCACTTTTAGAAACTTGTGGAAGGAAATCCCCTTCTGCTTTCCAAGCTTCCTTTCGTTCTTCCATCTATTGTGGGAGATGATACAAGCGTTTGATTCTAGGAGTATCTTTGGCTTCTTATGCCCCCTATTGCTTTTCAGTGTCGAATCCTTTATACAGGTCCCCAAAACTTCTTGACCTCAATTCAGGAGTAGCTTCTGAGCCTTTACTATTTTGTATAGGAAATACTTTCACTGATTAAATGAAATGATACAAAAGGTAAGATCCATCCAAAGTGATTACAAAAGACTTCAACAATTGCATATGAAAGGATTCAAACTATAGTTGCTATGAGGATGAACATTTTTACACCAATAAAAAGCCATATGGGGGAACGAGTCAAGGACTTCTTGGGGAGATCTTTCTTTGTCTGGGGAAATCCTGGAGTTTCTTTCATTCCTTATCATCCGTTTAAGTGACCTTAAGATGCTCTCTTGTCTTTACTTCAATCGGTTGCTCTCTCTCCTGATTGTAGAGACTGATGATTGGGGTCTCTCAAACGGTAGGGATCCTTCTAAATTTCCCTATTTCATTACTTAGCTTCTTCTCCAACCCCTTCCTCATCACATTAGAAGAATAATAAAATCTCAATATTGATCCTCCAAGTGGATAATATTATTCTTATAGGTAATGATGAAACAAGTATAGTTGAACCCAAGAAAAAATTTGTTAGAGAAATCGTACACATCTTCTCCTTGTTTCTCAAGCCTATAGTGAGTTACAAATAGAGTTCGAAAAGGCCAAGTCTTTGATGATTCCATCATAAATGATTGAGTTGCAAAGACTTCTAGATAGGTATCCCATATCTAAACTAAATTCTTTCTGGTTAAAGAATCTCTTTCTAGTTTGCTTGGAACAATTAGGAGATTCTCTAGAAGAAATATGGGTACTCCTTTTGGTGGCAACATGTTATGGGATGGCGGTCGTTCTTATGGGATCAAATCAATATGTTCGAAGAAGAAAGATCAGAATATCAATCTCATCAATATCACAAGTATCGTACCAAATCCCATCAATTGAATCATTTTTTTTAGAAATACGAGACATCTAAGTCAGAGAGATATATTCATTGATAAGAAAAAAATGTGAACATTGATTGGATTTATGATAAAATAGAATCCTAGTCTCAAAGAAAGATAATTCTTGGTTCAGTTCTCCACCTTAACAACAAAAAAAAAAAAAAAATGGATCAAATTCTATTGAGTCTGACGCATAGTGATCATTTATCAAAGAATGACTCTGGTTATCAAATGATTGAACAATCAGGAATAATTTACTTACGATACTTAGTTGACATTATTCTGATCAAGGATTTGAGAACATTAAAATATTTCTTAGAAATGGAATTTGCAGCATCAAAAAAGGGTATCTTTATAATCAAAGAAAATGTCTTTGACTTACTTTAAGAAACCGGACTACTTGAACGTAAGGTTGCAGAAAGCCCCCATTAAACTCCATCTAAAATTATAAGTTGCAAAAGCAGAAGAAATAAAGGACAAGGAGCGATACCAAAAACTTGTTGAAGGGTTAGTCTATCTATCCCATACCCATCCTGATATTACACATGTTGTATGCATGAACCAGTTCATTTTGAAGTTGAAATTTTGACTTACAGAAACTCATGGGAAAGGTATCTTATTCAATAAGCACCCTCTTATACTAATGCAGATTGGGTAAAAAGTACTACTGATAGAAGATCTACCTCAGGTTATCGTTCTATTGTTGGAAGGAACTTAATTATGTGGCAGAGCAAAAAAACAAAATGTGGTAGTTAGAAGCAGTACTGAAGCATACAAGAGCTTTAGCACGTGGAATTTGTGGGGGTATACGGACAAAAAAGGGTACTTGGAGAATTGAAGTTCCTTCAAAAGACGCCTATACGGATTTGTTGTGACAATAAAGTTATCATTTTGATGGCTCATAATCCAGTTTACATGATAGAACAAAAATGTTAAGGTGGATAAGCTTTTTATTAAAAAGAAGATTGATGCAGAAGTAATATGTATCCCTTACCTTCCAACGTCACAGCAAATTGTTGATGTATCAATTAAAGGACTCCCAAAAGTAATGTGACAAATGAATTGGCAAGCTAACTATGGAAGGTATCTTTAAACCAACTTGAAGGGAAGTCTTGGAATTCTACTATTTAAGTGTAAACATTAGTGGTCAATATTTAGTCTTAATTGCATTATTCTTTCCATGTATGTAATAGATCTCTCTTCTATACAAGAAGACCTAAGTTGCACAGTTTTTAACATATAGCAATATAATTTGTACCCTCCCAAATCTAGAGAAACGAAAAGGATGTAATGAAAAGAGCCTAATGCTTAATGGATGCAAACTCCAAGGAAGGAATAAAAGCAATAAGAAATAGTAAGCCTCAAATAAAGAAATCTACAAAGGATATATACAAGCATTCCAAAATTAAGATTGATATCCTGAAAATATAAATTAACAAAATATTTGGAAAGAGAACACCATGATGAAGCTTTGAGATGAGCTGACTCAAAATGATCTAGCCAAAGGAAATGCTTATTGTGAAACAGCCTTCGGTTTCTTTCAAAACATAATTTTGACAAGGAAAAAAAAAAGGCTTTACTGTATTACCCCACAAAAGCATAGATTTCGGAGCCAATTTTGGGCTAATGAGAAATGTTCGGAAACAACTTAAACCAACATAACTGCAATTAGGAACAACCAAAGAAAATATGCAGAAGACAATCCACATCCAAGAAACAAAAATGACAAATTGAGGATGATAAATCGTGTGAAGGGAGGTTTCTCTGTAAAATATTGAAGATTTAAGTTCCATTAATCATAATCCCTTCGGAAGTACTTTTTAAGATATTTTATTTGAGTTTCTTCATAGTTCTTGCATCTTTTTTTAATTCTCACTAGATCTGGCATTCTTGTACTCTTTAGTTTCTTTAGTTTACCCAAGTTTTCTCTTATTTACCCCCTCAACCGAATTGGTCAATTAGTTAGGAAGCCTTGGGTTAGTTTTGATTTGTTTGCTGACTTGTGACCTATAAATGGTCAGCTTCCAGTTTGTATCATTACCTTCAATTGAATACAATTCTGAATTTCCCTTAGTTCTACATCAACAAGACTACACCTCTTCAATCATAAACCAGCATGACAAGCTACATGCCATTTGCTTCAAGAGCCTCCTGATATTGTCCCAAATCATGCCTGCAAACAAGCATCCCCACATCCCCATAGAACGTTCCATATCCGTTAGGCAATCTTATCAACTTTGCATCAATAAGGCCTCAAAAGAAAAGAATACAATGTCTGAATAAGGCCGGGGG